CCCAGGCGCCAGCCAACTGGTGGCGGCGTCTGCATCTGGCGCCACCACCGCTGGCTGGGCGTCCAGCCAGGGCGCCCCACCGCGTTCACGGCGGTTCCCCCCCCCCTTTTTTTTTTTAAACAAAATATACCTTTCCTCCTTGGGACATCCTTCCCTCCGCCGCCGCCGCCACTTCCTTGCCTTGCCGCCTCGACATTGCCGTTATTTTGAATTTTTTTTTTTTTTTAGAGAGGTTGAAAGAAGATGATCAATGAGAGTGTGAGTGATGAGAGTGTGAGTGATGAGAGTGTGAGTGTTTTTTTTTTAAGGTCAAGGGCAATTTTGGGAAACTAAGTGAATTTTGTGGGCTTTATGTAGTAATTTGTGGGCGATGTTTAACAAATCCCTTATATTTGCCCCGATTTGAATTTTTTGTTCGCTTTCTGCGCTGCTCTCTCTCCTCCATTGAAGCGGGCTCTGTATTCTTCGTTTTCCTCCTCCATTGGTGCAGCTTCCAACGTAAGATATTTCTTTTAATCATTGAATATTTTTCAATATTTAGGGCTTATTTCCGCACTTCGGTTAATTTAATTGTCGGTATAGTTTTATTAGGGTTCGGATTATTCAACTTTTTTAGGTTATAAATACTTATTTTTGGAAAGAATTTAGGTTATAAATACTCGAACACTTTAACGATCATAGTTTGGTAATTAAGTCATATTTTCTTTTATAATTTGGTGATTTTGATTCATTCATATTTTCTTTTATAATTCGGTGTTTCATTCATTAGATTGATTTTCTTTCGTTTTTGTTGATTGGCAGTGAATTTCTTGGAATCTAGACATAAATCTGAAGTTTTCTGGAGTATTTTCTTTGTTTGATTGATTGAAAAATGCCGCCATACGATCACACTAATGATCCGTGGTTCAAGAACCGATTTAGTGCTCAAGAGGGTGAAAAGGGTTTGGCTGATAAGGGATATAATGTGCCTCCCTATTTAAATCGGGCCGGGTTTAAACCTCGAAAACCCGAAGATTTTGGTGATGGTGGGGCGTTCCCTGAGATTTATATTGTTCAGTATCCTTTGGGAATGGGAATGGGCAGGGATAAGACACCAATTTGTAGGATATTGCCTGTTACTGTGGATAGTAAAGGGAATGTGGCATTTGATAATGTAGTGAAGCAGAATGAAAATGCGTCGAAAATTGTTTATTCGCAATATAGGGATCTTGTGCCGAAAATTTTGAGGGGGGAGGAGTCTGATTCGAAGGAAGAATTAGAAGAGCTGCAAAAGGAGATTGAAGAGACTACTGAAGCTACTAAAGCTGCGATTGAGAGGATAGTTAGTGTGAGGTTGAGTGCTGTTCAGCCCAAGAATGTGCCTAAGCATTCATCTGATTCGAAGTTTATTAAGTATAAGCCGTTGCAGCAAGCTCAGGCTTTTAATTCTGGTGCGAAAGAGAGAGTTATCAGGTTGGTAGAGATGCCGGTGGACCCTCTTGAACCTCCCAAGTTCAAGCATAAGAGGGTTCCTAGGGCCTCGGGGTCACCACCTGTGATGGTCATGCATTCACCACCTCGTCCTGTGACTGTGAAAGATCAGCAAGACTGGAAGATTCCACCTTGCATTTCGAACTGGAAGAATCCTAAGGGGTTTGCCATTCCATTGGATAAGCGGCTTGCAGCTGATGGAAGGGGTCTTCAAGATGTTCAGATCAGTGACGATTTTTCAAAGCTTACTGAATCCCTGTATGTTGCAGAGGAGAAGGCGAGAGAAGCTTTGGCAATGAGATCAAAGGTGCTAAAGGAGATGAAGATGAAGGAAAATGAAAAGAGGGAGCTGAAGCACTGTGCTTTGGCTGCTAAAGCACGTTCTGAGAGGAGTAGTATTGCAGCTCCTGTGGCTGCACCTGCTAGAAATATGGATATGGATGAGGATGACATGAGATCTGATTATGTTGGTAGAGGAGATAGAGAAGTTACAAGGGAGGTAAAAGAGGAGAGGGAAGCGAGGTTGGGGCGTGATAAAATTCGTGAGGAGAGGCGACAAGAGAGGGAGAGGGAGAGAAGGTTGGAGGCCAAAGATGCTGCTACGGGAAGGAGGAGTAAGATTACAAGAGATAGGGATCGTGATATTAGTGAGAAGGTTGCTCTTGGTATGGCGTCTGTTGGGTCTGGAAGAGGTGAAGTCATGTATGATCAGCGATTGTTCAACCAAGAGAAGGGGATGGAATCTGGTTTTGCTGCTGATGACCAGTACAATGTATATGACAAAGGCTTATTCACCGCCCAAGCTACACTTTCCACTCTATACCAGCCGAAGAAAGATATGGATAATGACATGTATGGCGGAGCTGATGAACAGCTTGAGAAGATTAGGAACACCAAGAGGTTCAAACCCGACAAGGGATTCACTGGAACTGCAGAGAAGAGTAATAAGAGAGAGAGAGGCCTGTTGAGTTTGAGCAAGTTGCTGAGAAGGCTGATTTATTCGGTTTGGATCAGTTTTTCACTGAAGTGAAGAAGGGTAAGAAAGCCATGGAAATTGGTGGGGGAGGTACAATGAAAGCAAGCGCTGGGTCTACTCGAGAAGGCTATGATGGTGGCTCCAGGAGAAGCAGGATTGACTTTGACAAGGGGTGTTAATTCTGCATTTGTATAATTTTTTCTTCTATTAGCTGATCCTGTTTTTGCCCTTGTAAGCTTCTATTTTTCTTTTTTTTTTTTTCAAAAAAAAATAAAAATAGATAATGTTCATATAAGTACATGAAGATCAATACAGAAGTTAGAATAAATCCTTCTAAGGTAGTAAGTTTGATGCCATTTGTCGATTTTAATGTTGAAGAATAGGCACTGCTGCTATCTATATTTTAGAATTCGTATCTGATCTTTTCACATTTTTTGTTTTGCTGATCTATTTGATGAGCAGCCTGGCCTAGTCCATAAGTTGGTGAGCTTCTATTCTAATATTCTTTGTTGTTTTTATTGGGGCTAAAAGAAATGAAAGATGAAAAAGGTAAGGAGAAATAGAATGAGATTCTGTTTACAATGTATTTTGAATGATTTTATTGCTTCTTATAAGTTAGTTGAATTACAGTGTGATCTTGATACCCCTAAAAACCTAAATAGTTGGAATAGTAGACTCCTCTTTTAAATTGCTTGAATGAGATTGATATTATGATAGTGTTTTTCTATGTATGATCGTGATTTTTTGCATTATTTGGGGAGTTTTTGCTTATCAATCGTAAATTAGTCTACTTGTACAGTTAAATAATTTGTTTAGGGCCAACACTTTCTCGATCATGTAAGCAAAAGAGGTAAATCAGATCATGCAGAAGGATGTTTTTAATCAATCTGTGGAACATCCTAGGAATGCAAGCAAACTACTCATGCACTAGCTAAGTTGCTCTTGGAAAATATACTACATTAGAATCTTTGGCACATGGAAACTATACAACATTAGAATCTTTTATTGCTGTTAAGTCACTTTGTTAATTGTGTTTGTGTTCATTTTAGAGCAATTAAAGGTATATTTTAAGAAGCTAAAAGTTTGTTAATCTAGAAAACTTTCATAGCTTTGTCTTTCTTTAGCAACAGCGATTTGATCACCCACAAGCTTATCGCTGTGAAAGAAGCCACTTAATAAATACCTTTGTGTTATTAGTCTGAGTGATAAAACAGCTAGAGCTCGAAGGTGTGCATAAAGGTAGATCTTGTACTCGAGTTTCTTTATGTTGCTGAAGTTCTCTAAATGTTGCTGAAAGGTAGATCTTTGGGTTTTGATTATTACAGGCCGTGCTGAGGTTGATTTTGGGAATAATCATTTGATTGTTTTTTATGGTGATGCTAAAGATCTTTGGGTTTTGATTATTACAGGCCTTGTAAATTCTCATATATTTAGTGTTAGATCAACCATGGTGATGGTATATTTTGGTGTTAACCTTGGACTTGACTTCCATAATAATAACTTATAGAATGTGGGAGATGCAACTCTTTCCCTTGTAAATGTTTTTATATTCTACTTCTAATAATTACCGCTAATAATTGAATTATTTGTTGTAGACTTGTAGTTGATAACTTGGGGGGATCTGATTTCATCTGATTAGCATGCTTTTAATTCCTAAGACAGATTTAGTAAGATGAAGAGGGCTCGTAGTTTCATTAAAATTTCCCTGTTATTTTGCTAATTTCATTGAATTAATGGATGCATTCGAACATAAACTAGAGAATCATGACCAGGGAGCGTGGTGGTTTTAGGCTGTGGTGTGAGCCGTGTGACCACACCACTTCTGCTTTTTAAGAGGAATATTAGTCGAACACGGTATGTTTTCTCAGTTCATCTTGTTCCTTGGAAATTAGAAAAGGATTACCAAAGATGTAAGATAATGGATCCTTGAGTCCATACTTTGTATCAGTTCATCTTGTTCCTTGGAAATTACAAAAGGATTACCATAATGGATCCTTGAGACCAAACTTTGTATTACACTCGTTGAAGGTGTGCATGATTACGCGTGTAATGCACGGTACAGTGGTTCCAAGTCCATATGGTGTCAAATTGTCAATATGGTACAATACTAATACGAGTAATACTCGGTACAGTGTGGTTCCATGTCCGTATGGTGTCAAACTGTCAACATGGTACAATACCACAAGATGCAATGATGCACCATCCCAGTCGAATTATCATATGCACTTGAATCATTCTTCATTCATGAGTAGATTTTCGAAAGCTAGTCATTAGTCATGTTGTCTGAATATGTAGTGAGCGACTGGTTCGATTGTTAGATACAAACTGCCCCTGAAAATAGTACTACCACTTCCCAACAGGCATCACATCCCAACACCAAATTATCAAACTCAGGGTTTAGTGTTCAGAACTTCAGAGTTCAGACCCCAAATGCCATTGCATTAAAATTCAATACATGAGCGGCTTAGCTAATCACATAACACCAATGTAGACAAAGTTATTGAGAATACAAATGGTACTACAATATGGAAACGTGTGTTTAAGAGCCTAATAATAGATCACAAGGCATACGCATACCCCATAAAAGACTTAATTAAGAAAAAGTATATAAATATTACAATTACAACCCTCAAAAATCTTGATCTTGAGTTAGTACATCGTTAAAAAATTGAGCATACATAATGTTATGATTCAAGTCAAATCCACATGCTTTTGTTCAAATACTTCTTTAAAATGACACCTTAGTACAAGGACTGTAGCTGAAGTACCTTGTCACAAGAAAAAGCCTCATGGAAAAGGTCATCACAAAAATAAAAGCTACTAGATTGTCATCGTCTCGGTAATTATAGTGGATATGCACTTTGGTCCTATGCTGTACTCAATCTACATTTCGTCTTCATAATTTGTCCCAGGATAATCAGAACTGTAATTTCTGGAACTTTCATAAAAAGTATACACTCTTAGGTGATCAAAACTGTCTTAATAAACAAAAACTTGAGAATCAATCTGCTGGATTTTTGAGAAGATTTGTCTCAAGGTGTCCGTGTAGTTGGGAGATTTTACCTGACAGGTAACAGAATGAAGATTAGTAAGGCAATTACTGCAGCAAGATAATATCATTGAAACAAACAAAATAAAGCCACATAGAGCAGATTAAGAGCACAAATAACCTTGAGTTTATCACAAGTAGATGCCACTTTTGGTCAAGGTCCAATCAGAAGCATTGTGCTAGGTAACCCATAATTTGTATCAAGATTCATATTCGTTTCATTTTAAACTGCAACAATTAATCTAAACGAGGGGCTAGCACATTTACTAGTCAATCATAGTGGATCACAACCACCCCCTTGTCAAATTTCTAATGTCAATTCAGACATTCTTTGTCAACAACTCTGAACCAATTAATTAAACTCCCATTTGCTCTAGAGGGCAATAAGGCTCAATAAGATATCTAGTAAGGTTGTAAGGAGCGCAGAAGTTACCCAACAACATACAAAACCACCCAGCAAAGAGGCTCATTCAGGTGAAAGGATGCCAAAGTAATTAAAAACATACGTAGTATATCACCCACTCAATTCTTAACTGATCTCCCTGCTAGTCTTCAGAACGGAGATTCAGGAAAATAGTAGGGGCAGGCCCTCAGGAATGTAGATAATAATAAATAATTGTAAGGGGATAAAGAGGAAAAATAGTAAGATAAAAATGCTTGAAGCCTTGAATTATGAGAGTAAAAAATGATTGATGTGATGAAGAGGAAAAAACAGTATATAGAGAACCTCAGCTCTAAATACAGAAAGGAGGGAGGGGTATTTTACATCTTAATTGATAGGAAGAAATTTTGGGACGGATAAGGCACATTAGTACACTACTCTAGAAGTTTTCCTTCTTAACCCATTTAAAATCAAATACTACCTCCGATTTTTTTTAGTTGTAACTTCAGAATATTTTATATCTCTCAAATAATACCCCAAAGTTGCAACTAAAAATAATTGGAGGTAGTACAAGAAAAAAACTCTCTATTACTGATGTATTTCTTCCTTTCCCCCATTCATGGAAATCATGGGTTAAAGGGAGTAGCTTGGGGTGGCCGTTAGAGCTGTCAAAAGTTGACCCGACCCGAAATACCGACTCAAACCCGATTATTAACCGAAACATCTGAATCCGAAAAAAATGGTGACCCAAACCCGACCTGACCCGCCTGAAACCAACTCTAGACCCGAGTTGATACGAGTATGTGAGACCCACAACCCGAACATGAACTGACCTGAAAATGACCCGACCCGAATGTAACCCGTAAATTATTGACCTGAACGAAACCCGACTTGAACCGAAATTGACCCAAACCCGTTTTAACCCGTTAAAACCCAAATTTGACCTGACTTGTTACTAACCTAACCTGAATTCAACCCAACCCGTTCCTAACCTGACCTGAATTTAACCCAACCTGAAATCAACACGACTTGTTATTAACCTGACCCAAATTCAACCCGACTTGTTATTGACCCGACCCAAATTTTACAAGACCTATTACTAACCCGACCAAAAAATTCAACCTGATGTGTTACTAACCCGACTCGAAATCAATATGACTTGTTATTGACCCGACCTAAATTCAACCCAAATTATTCCTAACCCGATTTCAAATCACCTTAAATGCAATTTAGACCACCTTATTATTGTTGATCAAAGCATTTTGTCTAGGGAGACCAAGTCGGTCCAGCCAGTAAAAGAAAGGAGCATCACCCTCAAATTTAAGAGTTATATATAATATATATTTGTTGTATGGTCAAAAGAGATAATTATCTTCCTAAATTATAGAGTATAGACTATAGTTCCCTAGTATATTGCCATATATATTATAGTCATAGGAAATAATTAGCTTGATAAAAATGATAATTACCAATTAATACTTAGTTGAACCCAAATATGACCTGACTTGGAAATGACCCGACCTGATTGTAACCTGCAAATTATTGACTTGAACATAACCCGACTTGAATCCGAAAATGACCCAACCCGATAATGACCTGCAAATTATTGACTTGAACCGAACTTGACTTGAACCCGAGAATGACCCGACTTGAAAATGGTCTGACCTGATTATAACCCGCAAATTATTGATTTGAACCGAACCCGACTCAAACCCGAGAATGACCCGACCTGATTCTAACCCGCAAATTATTGACTTGAACAGAATCCGACTCGAACACGAGAATTACCCTAACCCGTTATAACCCATGAAAACCCGGATTAAACCCGACCTATTGTTCACCCGACCCTAATGTAACCCAACATGTTATTAACCCGACCTAAACCCGACCCAAACCCGATAAGTTGTATGGGGCACCGTGACCCGACTCAAGCATGACCCAAGGGCCCGCATAGGTTATGGAATTAATCCGAATTGACCCGACCCAAGTTGACCCAACCCACTCTTACCGACCCAAACTCGACTCGTTTACCCGAATTAACAGATCTACCTAAAACCTCCAAAATTTCTTAAAAACCGTGGATATTAGCCTTTAATTTTAGAATTTTTGACTTTTTTTAAAACGGAAATAAAATTTCCGAAATGTTTACCATGGTCCCTAATAACCTTTGGGAGTTCAACTGAGTGGGTGGAACCATCCAATTTGCCTTTCAACAACCAATTTACCAGTTTACAACTTGCACCGATTTCATTACTCAAGCCTACCACGAACATTTATGACAACATATAATGATCAAATATGGTTCCAGACGGCATTATATGACCCTAGATGTATCCCCTAAAATCTCAATGCTTTTGGACACCAGGCCCCCAAACATTCGAAATTTCTCAAAAAGCATGGATATTAGCCTAAAATTTTGATATTTTTGACTTTTTTTCGCCTGTAAATAAAAATTATCGAAATGTTTACCATGGTCTCTAATACCATCCGGGAGTCGGATTAGGTGGGAGGAACCATCCAATTCGCCTTTAAATAGCGAATTTACCGATTTACAACTTGCACCGATTTCATTAACTCAAACATACCACGAACATTTATGGCAACAAATAATGATCACTTATGGTTTAAAACAATATTATATGACCCCGAGATGTATCCCCTAAAATCTCAAAGCTTTTCGACACTGGGCCCCGAAATCTCAAAAATTTCTCGAATAACATAGATATTAGACTTCAATTTTGGAATTTTTTTACTATTTTTCGCCCGAAATAAAAATTGCCGAAATGTTTACCATGGTACCTAATACTCTCCGATAGTCCAATTTGCCATTAAATGGCCAATTTGCTGGTTTACAACTTGCACCGATTTCATCAACTCAATCCTACCACGAACATTTATGACCACAAATAGTTATCATATATGATTCCAAATGACATTATATAATCCCAAGATGTATTCCCTAAAATTTCAAGACTTTTCAACACCGGGCCCCGAAACCTCTTACATTTCTCAAAAAACGTGGATATTAGCCTTCAATTTTTTAATTTTTCGACTTTTTTTCGCATGGAAATAAAAATTGCCGAAATGTTTACCATGGTCCTTAATACCCTCTAGGAGTCCAATCGGGTGGGTGGAACTATCCAATTTGCCTTTAAATGGCCAATTTACCAATTTTCAACTTGAACTGATTTCATTAACTCATGCCTACCACGAACATTTATGACAACATATAACGTTCATTTATGGTCTCAAACATCAATATATGACCCCAAGATGTATCCCCTAAAATCTCATTTCTTTTCAACATCGGGCTCCGAAACCTCAAAAATTTCTCAAAAAGCGTGGATATTAGCCTTCAATTTTTTAATTTTTCGACTTATTTTCGTCTGGAAAAAAAAATTACCAAAATTTTTACCATGGTCCCTAACACCCTCTGGGAGTCCAATTGGATGGGTGAAACTATCCAATTTGTCTTTAAACGGCCAATTTATCGGTTTACAAATTGCACCGATTTCATTAATTCAAGCCTACCACGAACATTTATGACAACATATAATGATCATATATTGTTCTAAACGGCATTATATGACCCCGAGATGTATCCCCTAAATACTCATTGCTTTTCGACATTCGGCCCCGTAACCTTCGAAATGTTTAAAAAAAACGTGGATATTAGCCTTTAATTTTGGAAATTTTTTGACTTTTTGTCACCAGGAAATAAAAATTGCCGAAATGTTTACCATGGTTCCTAATACCCTCCGGGAGTCCAATTGGGTGGGTTGAACTATCCAATTTGCCTTTAAACGGCCAATTAATCAGATTACAAATTGCACAGATTTCATTAACTCAATCCTATTACGAACATTTATGACAATATATAATGATTATAAGTGGTTCCAAACGGCATTATATGACCGCGAGATGTATCCCCTCAAATTTTAAAACTATTTGACACCGAATCCAGAAACCTCTAAAATTTCGCAAAATGCGTGGATTTAATTTAGAAATCTTTTGAGTTTTTTTTTTCGCTCGGAAATGAAAATAGCTGAAATGTTTATCATGGTCCCTAATACCCTCCGGGAGTTCATTTGGATGGGTGGAACCATCCAATTTGCCTTTAAACGACCAATTTACCGGTTTACAACTTGCATCTATTTCATTAACTCAAGCCTACCACGAACACTTATGACAACAAATAATGATCATATATGGTTCCAAATGACACTACATGATCTCGAGATGTATTCCCTAAAATTTCAAGAGTTTTCAACACCGGGCCTAAAACCTCCAAAATTTCTCAAAAATCGTGGATATTAGCCTTTTGTTTACCATGGTCCCTAATACCCTATAAGAGTCCTATTGGGTGGGTGGAACTATCCAATTTGCCTTTAAACGACCAATTTACCGGTTTACAGCTTGCACCGATTTCATTAACTCAAGCCTACCACGAACATTTATGACTAAAATAGTTATCATATATGATTCCAAATGACATTATATAATCCCAAGATTTCAAGACTTTTCAACACCGGGCCCCGAAACCTCCAACATTTCTCAAAAAACGTGGATATAAGCCTGCAATTTTTGAATTTTTTTGACTTTTTTCGCCTGAAAATAAAAATTGCCAAAATGTTTACCATGGTCCTTAATACCCTCTGGGAGTCCAATTGGGTGGGTTGAACCATTCAATTTGCCTTTAAACGGCCAATTTACCAATTTACGACTTAAACTGATTTCATTAACTCAAGCCTACCACGAACATTTATGACAACATATAATGGTCATTTATGGTCTCAAACGGCATTATATGACTCCAAGATGTATCCCCTAAAATCTCATTTCTTTTCGACACCAGGCCCCGAAACCTCCGAAATGTCTAAAAAAAAAAGTGGACATTAGCCTTCAATTTTGGAAATTTTTTACTTTTTTTCGCCCGGAAATAAAAATTGCTGAAATGTTTACCATGGTCCCTAATACCCTCTGGGAATCCAACTAGGTGGGTGGAACCATCTAATTTGCCTTTAAACGGCCAATTTACCGATTTACAACTTGCACCGATTTCATTAATTCAAGCCTACCACGAACATTTATGTTAACATATAATGATCATATATGGTTCTAAACGGCATTATATGACCCCGAGATGTATCCCCTAAAATCTCATTGCTTTTCAACACTCGGTCCCGAAACCTTCGAAATGTCTAAAAAAAAAACATGGATATTAAGCCTTTAATTTAAGAAAATTTTGACTTTTTTTTGCCAGGAAATAAAAATTGCCGAAATGTTTACCATGGTCCCTAATACCCTCTGGGAGTCCAATTGGGTGGGTTGAACCATTCAATTTGCCTTTAAACGACCAATTTACAACTTGCACCGGTTTTATTAACTCAAGCCTACCGAAAACATTTATGACAACATATAATGATCATAAATAGTTCCAAACGGCATTATAGGACCCCGAGATGTATCCCATAACATTTCCAGGCTTTTCGACACCGGGCCTCGAAAATTTCAAAATTTCTCAAAAAGCGTGGATCTTAGCCTTTAATTTTGGAATTTTTTGACTTTTTATCACCCGAAAATAAAAATTACCGAAATGTTGACCATGGTCCCCGGGCATCCAATTGGGTGGGTGGAACCCTCCAATTTGCCTTTAAACGGCTAATTTACCGGTTTACAACTTACACCGATTTCATTAACTCAAGCCTACCACAAACATCTATGACAACATATAATGATCATCTATGGTTCCAAACGGCATTATATGACCCCCAGATGTATTCCCTAAAATCTCAAGACTTTGCGACACTTGGCCCCGAAATCTCCAAAATTTCTCAAAAAGCGTGGACATTAGCCTTCAATTTGGAAATTTTTGACTTCTTTTGGTCCAAAATAAAAATAGCCGAAATTTTATCATGGTCTCTAATATCCTCCGGAAGTCTAATTGGGTATCTGGAACCATCCAATTTGCCTTTAAACGGCCAATTTACAGGTTTACAACGGCCAATTTAATTAACTTGCACCGAACCCGACTTAGAACCGAAATTGACCCAAACCCGTTTTAACCCGTCAAAACCCGAATTTAACACGACTTGTTACTTACCTGACTTGAATTCAAACCGACCCATTCCTAACCCGGCCCGAATTTAACCCAACCTATTACAAACCCAACTCGAAATCAACCCAACTTGCTATTGACCTGACCCGAATTAAACCCGACTTGTTATTGACCCGACCCAAAAATTCAACCCGATGTGTTACACAGCTTGTTATTTACCCGACCTAAATTCAACCCAAATTATTCCTCACCCGATTTCAAATCACCTTAAATGCAATTTAGACCACCTTATTATTGTTGATCAAAACATTTTGTCTAGGGAGACCAAGTCGGTCAAGGCCAACAAAAGAAAGGAGCATCATCCTCAAATTTAAGAGTCAAATATAGTATATATTTGTTGTATGGTCAAAGGAGATAATTATCTTCCTAAATTATAGACTATAATTCCCTAGTATATTGCCATATATATTATAGTCAAAGGAAATAATTAGCTTGATAAAAATGATAATTATCTATTTAGTTAATTGAACCGGAATGTGACCTGACTTGGAAATGATCCGACCTAATTGTAACTTGCAAATTATTGACTTGAACATAACCCGACTTGAATCCGAGAATGATCCGACTTATAAATGACCCAACCTAATTATAACCCGCAAATTATTGACTTGAACCGAACCTGACTTGAACCCGAGAATGATCCGACTTGAAAATGACCCAACCTGATTATCATCAGCAAATTATTGACTTGAACCGAACCCGACTCAAACCCGAGAATGACCCGACCTGATTCTAACCCGTAAATTATTGACTTGAACCGAACCCGAGAATTACCCTAACCCGTTTTAACCCGTGAAAACCCGAATCAAACCCGGCCTATTGTTCACCCGACCCGAATGTTACCCGACTTGTTATTAACCCGACCTAAACCCAACCCAAACCCGACAAGAAGTATGACTCGACGTGACCCGACTCAAGCATGACCCAACCCAAACCCGACCCGCTTAGGTTATGGATTAATCCGAAATGACCCGCCCCGAGTTGACCTGACCAAATCTTACCCGACCCAAACCTGACCTGTTTACCCGAATTGACAGCTCTAGTGGCCGTCCTCTATCTTTATACCAGAGAGAGCTAAAACAGATCAAAGATATGTTTCAGATTTTTTATTTTTATTTATTATTATTTTTTTTTTTGACAAGGCTAACAAAACGAATGAAGTTGGGTTGCAAGACTAGAACTTGGGACCTTTGCAAACAATAACTTAATCACTACCGTTAGGAACAGACCTCACTGAGTTTCCATGTTTGGATGATAATTATTCAAATAATGACATATCACAGAGATTATGCACCTCTCAAAAGGATGGGTAGCAAGATTCAGCTGCCTTGAAGTCCAACTTCTTTTATGGATGATTTCCAAGTCACAATGTACGAAATTGAAAGATAATTACATACATAATGTACAAGGGAGCTGAATTAAAAAGCAAAAAATCATGCCAATAATTTATTATCCAAACTAATGACAACTTTTTAGTCTTATCACAGTCTACTTTTTCCACCAGCCAGGGGTCACAAAGATGAGCAGCACACAGTCAGGAGTCTATAACAATATTCCGGCCATAGATGATTTGAATTGCAAGCTTAATAGTTGTACTAAGTACTTATTCAAACAAGATTTTCTAAGACACATGAAAAAGAGAATTGACATCAAGAGGGCAATTAATAAAAGATTAAGAGCCATATATGCTGCCTACTCTCTGGGGCTGAATTCTCCAGCCCCCTCATCTTCCTACCCCTCTATCAATGAAACCACATAACAGTGCCTAATATGAGAACAATCTTTGTTGTTCATATTCTAGCACACAAAATAGGAGAGCAAGGTTAAGACAAGGCACATACACATGGATTATGTTCAAGATAGATAGTGGTAAGTGTCTCCCTCGAACCAGCAACCGCCTCAGCCATACCATCCAGAGAGGCAATCTGGTTATCATTCAGCCACAGATCTTCCAACCTGAAAACAATTGACAAATTAATATTTATGTAGTGGCCAGATGGCCAACCACCAGTTTCATGTATAGTGCTTGGTACTTAGTACTTAAGATAATCAACGTACCTTGTCAACTTTTCAATGTCCTCTATTGATGTTAACTTATTTGATGCAATATCCAAGACACGGAGGTTTGCCAACGTTGATAGCCCTTCCATTTTTGTAATTCCATTATGGCTCAAGTATAATTCTTCAAGGGCTACACATTCCTACAAATTTTGTTTTCGCAACAGAAAAAACATGAAAAGCGAGAATCTCGAAAAGGGACAAAGTGCAATCTACTAATCTTACAAAGATTAGGGGTAAAAAAGCATACCTCAAATCCTTTCATTGATGTCAAGCGGTTGCTCTGCAAACTAAGTTTTTTAATGCATTTTAATCCACATAAGTTGACAGTTTTGATCCGATTTCGACCAAGCCATAACTCTTGCAGGTTAATCAAAGTTTCTAGATTCTCCATCACCTGGGAAATGAAGCTATAGTTACAGAAGTTGGGGGCAAATTAACAACTGTTAGAAAACCTCAATCCTCACTCCCTCACATCAATCTGAGGAGGCAAGTTGTGATTCACATATAGTAAATATCTGCAAACAGTCTAGAATTCTCTGCAGTAATTGCACAGCTATTAGCTGATAAAATGGTTAGGATACATACCCGCAACCTATTGGAGCCAAGTTCGAGAATTTGCAGCTCATGAAAATGCTCAATTTCCTCTATCTTAGTGACTTCATTTTTGGACACATAAAGTTCTCTGAGAGTGTTTGAGACCTTTGACAACCCACTTGCAGAGGGTATTTCATTGAAAGATACATCAAACACCAGAAGATTCTTAAATATGCTTACATCAGGTATCTTTGTAAGTTTGTTGTCTCTAAGTACCAGCTCCTACATACACGAAAATAACAGAAAAGGCTGAATTGCAGTTGCAAATAGTGAAAATACAGTGAGTGTTATATTATCTTATTCTACCTCCGGATCGTATTATATGCAACTTTGGGGTATTATTTGTGAGATGTAAAAAATTCCAAAGTTGCATATAATATGATCCGGAGGTAATATGTGAATTCAAACGTATCAATATGCTCAACAAAGTTAACAAAGAATCATAACAGCTGATGTGACACCAGTCAAAATCAGAAGTTGTGACATATTATAAAACACACATGATGGAATGACAAGATGGAATTCCATTACAATATCCTCAAAATAGAAAAGAATACAAAAAATTTCATTACTAAGAAAATCCTCCTCTAAATCACCCCCATCATAATTAATAGTCTATACTAAGTAGCAAAGGATCAACTGACAGTCATCAGCCGCCTTAATATGAGGGGTCACACGGCCAAGCCAATCCATTGGTGTTGCTAGATCTCATTGTCTCGTGGCCATATACTACTCTAAGTAGGGACTGGAAATCATACGATCATAGTAGCATCAATTCTGGCTCCTATAGTCCTATAACTCCTAATTGTACAAGATGCTTATAGTCTTTTACTCCCAATTGATAATTACCTTATACCCTCTATATTAAAAATTTATTAACTTTAGAGACATACCTAATAAAAATTGACAATGTACAGTTGTATACTAATCACCAAGTCAACATAACATGTATTATGACTTGATATAAATCCCGAAATTGAAATAAAGTAAAAACACACTACTAATAAATGGTTGCTACTTGCTATTATAATAGTAAAGAATGGGGAAAAAGAATGCCTTCCAAATAGAAAGAAGAGGCAATGCTTTAACAACAACGCTTTAACAACAGTGAACGCTAAAACATAAAGCTAAAGTCTTTATATATATAGAAGGGGTAAGGTTTATCATCTAACAACAGTTAAACCAAGCAAAAAGATATTATGATTTCGTCATAGAGGTAGTAATCAGCATTTGTCAAATATGGAGTGTAAACTAATTCTCTACACTGTGCCTCACTCCTTCAACAAAACTTAAATCAATAAATCTCTCATTTTCTCTCCAATGCACTTGCCTCACATCGCGACAGAAGATGGAAAATCCGAGTTTCTTCTAATTGTAATACTACTAATACGCAGCACTAAACAATCCTAGCTATTACAATCCACTGACCCTAGAATTTGAGGTTTTCCCAAATCATCCAAATTAAGCACAAATTAATGGGGCTTAAGGCTTAACACAAAGGCAAACAAATTTTAAAAATGCTACACAAATTATACTTGATCAACAAAATTCATACCCAAAAAAAGGGGGGAAATTCATAAATTCAAAAATTTACACAAACAAATCAAAAATCGATAAATTGATTATCAACAAAGAAAAACAGACATTGACATAAAAACAGAGAAAATGCAAAATTTACCTCGAGCCCAGAAATGGCATGAGAATTAGAGAGAGGTTCAATGCCAGCATCATCAAAGAGATTCTGACGAAGAGAGAGCTTTTTGAGGTGAGAGAGAAGAGTAATTCGAGGATCCAATTGAGAGAGACGATTAGCAGTCAAGTCTAACTCGACAAGACTCGGAGGAAACTCGACTGAGTCGAGGTCATGGAGCTGGTAACTCGTTAGATCGAGTGAGGTGATCGTCTCCTCCTCTTCGCCGTCGTCGGAGGCGGTGGCGGAGGTGGCGTTTACCGAGCGGTGATCGTCGGAAGATTCTGGAGGTTGAATTAGGGTTTGGTGATCTTCCATGGAAGAAAGCTTGGAGGAGAGAGAAAGATGGAGTGTTGTTTGTTGTAATAAACCTGGAAAAAGGAAGAAATGGTGGAAGAAATGGTAAGGAATTAGATTGCGGATTAACGAAGCATATGCTTATTCCTTATGCGATTTTACTATGTATGTTCCGAAGTGCGAACTATATGACCCGTTAGAAATGGGCGTATTATTTTAGGACGAAGGAAATACTATATAGTCCTCGAATATCAATCAATTTTGTTGTTCTTTCTAGTTGAATTACAGTTTCAAATTATTTGTTAGGTCGTTGCTAGTTGCATTTGAGGTAACTGTTTTGCAAGGAATTTGGTTGTATTTAAGCTTCGCTAAAGCTAGAGCTTAATGAATGACTATATTGACAATGATTATAGCTCTAAGCCTAACACTAGATTGTCTAGCAATAACCCAATAACTTTAGGGATTGTTTGGCATTGTTTTTTGTTTTTAGTTTTCTGTTTTTGAAAAAACTAAAAACCAAAAACAGGAAACAAGAAAAAGGTGTTTCCACTTTTTGGTTGTCAGTTTTCAAAATTATCATAATTTTAATAACTTTGACTAATTTTTTATTCATTACATGATATATATCATATAATTTTAAAAAACAAAAAACCAAAAAACAGAAAACCACAGTGATGTCAAACGAACCCTAATTTGCACTCTCATAGTCATAATTACGGATCATAAAACATGTACGGATCACAAAACGTGTACTGTAGTCGTCTACTTGAATACAATCAAACCAAAACTCTAAGTTCATGCCTTAAAAAACAATTACATATCAAGCGAATAAGCGATTTTTAATATTGTGCTTATTTCTATATAATAAAAAAAAATAAGAAGAAAAAAAAATCATCTCATCTGCCAAACAACAAAAATAACTTTTCATAATTGACAATACCCCCAGTATCTGTATATCCTCGCAACATTAGCTGAGTTTCTGCATACAATGCTAAAGATACAATCTTGGGGAGCCTCAGCCCTCAGTAATGTTCTTATTCAGTCTTTCTTTGCACGGGCGGCCATTGCTGCTGCAGGCTTTGTACACACTTGAAAGAAGATAGATGCTGTACACTAGGATGATCTTCATGTCGCCTGCTTTAACAACTGGCTATTCGGTGCACAAGATTGACATTCTCAACGTACAGTTTCAGTTTCCAGAAACATTCTGAACACATTAGACATTTCTAAACCAAAAGCACAGCCTTATCAGCAGCAAGCCAGCATAATAGAAACATGAAAATCCTGTAGTTCAACAACCTGGCAACCCAGTAAAATAAATTACTTTTAAATCATCTGGATATGATGTAACTTACATCATGTAAGTGTCTGCTATTTGGCATGTAGGTCAAGAGTATAGAGGGAGAGAATAAAACTACTCTAGCAGGAATGTAGACGAGAATATGTATAGTAAGCCCTCATTTTCTGCTCCGATTCTTAGTATAGCACACTGCAAATTACTAACAACCTATAGCCTACAGTATAGGGTAACAAACCTCCTCAAAGTTATACTAATTGGCTTTAGTGTCTATTAAATTAAATAAAAAGGTATTGAAGTTTTAATGGCACAAAAAGAAGCAGGCAAAAGATAACTCACTTGTAAAACATATACAGAGTAAATCTTCAACAGAATCTTGGACAAATGACACTCCTGATTTACATGCAAGCAATCATAGAGGATTTTGCAGGATAGGGGTCATCCTATATGCTCCAAATAAGCACATAAATAGACTAAATGCATGAAGTAGCTATTAACTCGACACAGTCAGAGTGAAATTGGTGATATGCACAAGTGATGATTGCTTATCAATGCTGACTGCATATGCATAAACAGATTAAAGGAAACTGTGATACATTCAAATTGGCCAAGTAGATGATCAAAAGCAACCCCAGCACCTAATGGTTGGTCTAAAACTGACCTATGTCTCCCAACCACATCCAAGAATACTTCCGCCCACTAAAATAAATAGATAAAAAAAATATATAAGATTACAACTGCCCTTAGTCTTCTATTATTTTTTGGAATTATAATGTAGAGGATGAACAAATTAACCTTGATATCCATGGGAGAATCAAATACCTTGAATATCTGAAGGATGTTTGACATGTACTACACTTTATGGAATCATGTTCACCAGCTACAGATCTCTGTTAGCAGTCATCATTTTCAACAACTTAGTAAGATCATACGCCTTGAAGTCTTTTCCATAAGCTATGCTCAGATCCAAAGGTGTCCTTCCATCCTATAATACAATTGAGTACAGGCAGATCCATTAGTATTAATTTAGATCAAAATGCAAATGATACCAGCTTTAAAATTCAAAAACACATACAACAACTATATTAAAAGAGTACATAAAAAGTAAAGGCATTTGAGGTTTTTTATGTGGACAATAAACTCCCATGAGTTAGCTTAGTATAGTAGAGAAGAGTAAATGAAGGTTAAGGTCATTTTAGGTGGACATCAATCTCTTCAAAATGCAGAATATACAGACACATGGAAGTTCAATGAATCCAAGAATGTGGATCACATCATACGTGTCAAGCTATTAGATTTTTAAATGATACAATGTCAATAGATTTACCTTATTTTTCCTCATTTTATCTGCACCATTTACTAACAAGATTTTTGCAATGTCTCTGTTTCTACTTTGCATGGCAACATGTAAGGGGGTCCACCCTTCCTGTTATTGGGAATTGGAAACAAAGTTAATGAGCTCGGTTAAGATGCAAAACAATGCAGGACAAGAAACAAATTCATACTCACATCATCGGAGGCATTCACATCTACATTGTACTTCATAAGTAATTTCACAGTCTGTATGGCACCAACTTGAACTGCATAGTGAAGAGTGGTGACACCATTCTGTAGCAAATAGCATATAGTTATTTCTGCAAGTTAAAGAGTCTACAGACAGACATTCAAGGGAAGATTTACCTTATCCTTAATATGAGGATTGGCACCTTTTCTTATGAGATGACTAATAACAGCTTCTTTCTTACCAATAATGCTGACATGTAGAGCAGTCAGACCATCCTGCTCATAAAATCTTTGATAATTTAATCCATGAAAGAGCTACTCTAGCCAGAGATAATGTTACATGTTAAATTAAGCTGACCTTGTCTGGAAGATCAATCTTGACACCATTTTCAAGTAGCTGGTCAAGAAAATGAATTTGTCCTGACAATGCTAGGCTGTGAAGAGGACTCCATTTTGCCTACACAGTATTTAAAAATTCAGAAAATCTTGAACTAATCTACAATCCAGGAAGCAAACAGATTCAAAGAACAACATAGGGATAGCTTTGGATACTTCCAAATACTTACAGTTGATATTTTCTCAAGATTTGGAGCTGCATTTTGTTGCAAAATTAGCCACTCCTCTGGTTCCAAGAGATGCTCAATCTCTGAAGACTAGTCATTGTCAATGTTTACAACACAAGAAGAATTCTGGGTGATGTTAAACATGAAAAAATACTCAAATAAATCAAACATATAAAGCTGCTTCAAAATCTAAAACAATGACTAACATTGCAAAGATGGAGGTTCATATATACCTAAACCTATTTCCTTAAGCATACCATCTACAAAGATAAATGGGACTTGTTTATCCTAATTGTTTTGAATACAAGAACACGAACACATAAGATGTTTGACATCATGAAACATTATTGAATCAGCCACATACATTTTTTTTAACTAGGTCTCAAAATATATATACATAATATGCTACAAGCCTACAAGATACTTTCAGGAATGTGCAAGGTCTACCCACATTATACAAGCATACTTGCTTCTCTTAAATGAGCAGGAATGCTACAAACAAATAGAAAGAGTTGATTCCTTGTAATTATTAGTGCACTCATTTAACAGCAGCAAAAAGTTGAAATCCACGACAATTTGGTGCATGAGACCAACAAAAAATGCAGTATGGATACCTACAATGGTTGGAAAGATCCAAACGTGTTTTAGGCTAACCTTGTGTAGAGTAGGGATTAGAAAAAGTACCATATAAATAGATTGATTAATAACAACCAAAATTATTAAATCGATTGTTAAGTTCTACTGCCTCAAAATTCATGCATGATGGTTCATGTCAGATGTTTCTAATCTTACTTCACAAACCGAATAAGCCATTATTGACTATTCCGCAGCAACAACAGAAATGATGGTTTATAAATCCACTTTAGTTTCAATATAATTTGTCTCACATGAATTACTAACTGATTGTAATTCTGGCGGCAAAGCTCAATTGTAATGAACTCATTATAATTTAATATGTACCATAAATTATTCATATGTTCTGGTTAACTTCATACACATAGATCATATCCTTTGTGACCCACATACTTATTTTATTTACTCTGTAACATGCAATAACATCAGTAATGAAAGTTGCACATATCATGATATCCCTTAATACAAACAAAACTTTCCAACTTGTTTAACTTGTGAAATGTTTACTTGATGAGTGCTTAAGTTTTTCCAACTTACTGTCATATATTCTTTCTTCTATCTCTCCTTATTACATCCTGTATTACACAGAATCTCAGTGGGGTACTAGAATTGAATTAAAACATATACATTCAGCATTCCCTACAAGTATGCACCATATTGTTCTTGAGAATATGCCCTAAAAAATGCTTCATTTCCTTTAAAGTCATCATGTACTCCCATTGCTTTACTCTTTCATCAACATGTTACATGTGGTCCTAGTGCTTTGCTTTTAGGGACGGGGCTAGTTACAGAAAAACAAAACAAAAGGAGCAAAGATTTATAACCTTTTGCGAGTTCATCCTCATACTTCATTTCTTCATCTTTTCCAGTAATTGTCTCAACTGAAGAGTCTTTATCTTCTTCCCAGTCACTCTCAAAATCCAAATCATTTTCCTCCGCTTCCTGCTCTTCATCATCATAGTCACTCTCACTTCCGTCCTCAGGATCTTCCCATACCTCAACTTTTGAATTGCCAGGAGTCTGCCTTGAGCCAACCACGCTGGCTCTTCCATTTGAGTACTTTAGAGTCACATAAGGACGGACAATTCCATTTCTTCTAAGATTTAAAGGTTTAAGGTAGCCTGTCGTGCAGCATGAAGTACCTCCTGTTGTTCTAGAAGAAACGACAGGCAACAAAGAAAGCTCTTTAAGAGGCAAGGTTGCTGTAGCCCAAGATGCCATACACTCAGCTTCAACTTGTTCTCGACTTTCGATAACTTGATGCAATCCACTACAAAATATACACATAGAGACTTCACTAAAAAAAACTCAACCCAAGGGGTGAAAAGATTACATGTTTATGCAATTATGCATATCCTCAAATGCAAGGTAATTCATGGTCAATTGGTTATGCAACCCACTCCATAATTTATGAATTAGGCTTCGATGTTGTTGTTGTTGTTGTACAAAGCAGGCTTGTCCCTGAACAAAGGACGGAGGGGCAGCCGCCCTGGCCAGGGAGAAAGGCCCATTTCCGTAGTTTTTCCATTTTTAACATGAAAGGGCTATAAACAAACGCCTACGAAATTAGGCTAAATGGTTGAAGTGGTTCAATGGTAGTGACTCTAGTGAAGCCTAGTTAATCATCAAACCTCTTAAGAGGAGAGTTAAACCTTTAAACCAAGTCCAAATAGGACTAGGCTCGGCTCGAGCTCAATAGCCTCAATATGATTAAGGCTGGAAGAAAAACCTTGTAGACTAGATTAGGCTCAAAAATGCAACACATTAGCAACCAATTTGGATTGAATTATCAAATTAGGCTCTAAAAATGTAACACATTATCAACCAATTTGGATTGAATTATCAAATTAGGCTCTAAAAATGCAACACATTATCAACCAATTTGGATTCAATTATCAAATTAGGCTCTAAAAATGCAACACATTAGCAACCAATTTGGATTCGATTTTCAAATTAGGCTCTAAAAATGCAACACATTAGCAACCAAATTGGACTCAAATATCAAATTAGGCTCGAAAAAATCACATAAAAATCTTCTCGCTTAAGCATACCAACGTAATTGCACTTTCCAAATTTTGAGTAAATATAACCAATAGTTCAAAAGTGCACCTTAGAAGAACCCTAAATTGACTATACTGAACTATTAAATCAATGATAGTGTGAAGCTAAATTCTTTGATTGAAAAAAATTATATATTACCTCAGGAACTGCTTCAATGGAGGAAATAAAGCTCAGCTTCAATAAAGAACTCAGGGTAGCTTCAATGGAGGAAAGCAAGCTCAGAGCACGCTTTAATGGAGGAGAGCAAGCTCAGAGAGAGAGGAGGGAAGGGGGTACAGCGTAATAGTGGAAACTGAAAAGTGGATAAAAAAATAAAAATAAAAAAAAAAACCGATAACATAAAAAGCAAGAGTGCACGAGCGAGCTAACCGTGCAAGTCCATGTACGATAAAGGTCGTGTTGTATCATGTTGAGCTTGTGTCCTATATAAAAGAGCTCATGTATAGCTCCGAGCCTTGAACCACTGGTATTGTGGTGTTATGTGACTTATGTCAACAATCCTTTTGATGATTCATAATTTTTTGCAATTTGGTAAAAAATAAACAGACCAACACATAAATCGATCATTAAACTCATGCCAAACTTGGCAAAAAAAAGATGATGTTCTTTAACATTGTGCCAAACTTGAGTCAAACTCGAACCGTTTTAATACTTGTGCTTGATCGACCAAAGTGTTAGCTCGTCCCATGCCCAGCTCTATTGGGGCATACAACACTACTACTACCCAAAGTTCACAAAATTACATGCCACTTTGACGCATGATCTCTTTCTCTCTCTTACCGCTAAGGCTCCACAAATTGCCACAGCCAAAATCCACCATATTTCTTCACATTGCAGCAGCAACTTCATCTGAATCAATTGACCAATTTCCAATCAATCAAACATTTTTACAAGAACCCCAACAAAACCCAGCTGAGAAAATTCAAAACTTGTTATCAAATTGCACAAATTTACTTCAACTTCATCAAATTCATGCTCAAGTAATTAGAACCCACTACTTAGAATTAAACAATGCCCCATTTTATTGGAACAATTTCATAAGATTTTACACTAGATTAAACTCCCCATGTTATGCTTTTCATGTTTACTTGTCTATGTCTAGAGCAGGGGTCTTACCTGATCATTATACCCTGCCCATCACCATTAAAGCTGTTGGACAAGCTTACTCTTTGAAAACAAGCCAGCAACTTCATGGGGTTGCAATTGTTCATGGAATTGAATGTGATGAGTTTGTTCAAAGTGGGTTGGTTAATATGTATGTGAAAGTAGGTGAGTTTGGGGATGCATACAAGGTGTTTGATGAAAGTCCTGAGAGAAAGTTAGGTTCTTGGAATGCCATTATTGCTGGGTTAGCCCAAAGTGGGCGTTCTAGGGATGCTTTAGATGTGTTTTTGAGGATGAGGAGAAGTGGGTTTGAGCCGGATGGTGTGACAATGATTAGTGTTGTTTCGGCATGTGGAGGGTTAGGGGATTTTAAGCTAGCACTACAATTGCATAAATGTGTTTTTCAAGTGAAATGGAAAGGCAAAGAAAATGTTTTGATGATGAATTCAGTCATTGATATGTATGGGAAATGTGGGAGGGTGGACTTGGCTTATGAGGTGTTCTCGAAAATGGATGAACGAAATGTGTCGTCGTGGACTTCCATGATAGTAGGTTATGCCACACATGGCCTTGCCAATGAAGCTATGGAGTTCTTTCATGCAATGGTAGAAGCTGGTGTGATGCCTAATCATGTGACTTTTGTTGGGGTGTTGAGTGCATGTGTTCATGGTGGGATGGTCTATGAAGGAAAACGTTGCTTTCATATGATGAAGAACGGTTATGGGATCGAGCCTAACGTGCAGCATTATGGATGTATGGCTGACTTACTTGGTCGAGCAGGATTGTTAGAGGAGGCAAGAAATATGGTGGAATCCATGCCCATGAAGCCAAATGTTGTGATTTGGGGGTGTTTGTTGGCAGCAAGTGAGAAATATAATGATGTTAAAATGGGAGAATGGGTAACGAAGCATTTTCTCGAGCTAGAGCCATGGAATGATGGGGTTTACGTTATTTTATCAAACATCTATGCTAGTAGAGATATGTGGGAGGAGGTTGAAAAGATGAGGGAAATTATGAAACAGAGAAGATTAGCTAAGCTTCAAGGTTTTAGTTCTGTGACCATTAGTATCAATTGAAAGAGTTACCATTTTCTTCTGAACTCATTGTACACTATAAATTGATTGTCGTTTGACATTTCACAAAAATTTCAAATGGGAAGGGATGTGTTCTCTGGATATATACAGTTATTGTCTTCCAATATTGCAGTAAGTAATATGAGATCGACTTGAACCATCTTCAATGCCGTGATTGTTGTTTTTATTCCAAGTAATATTTGTAGTACATAGATCAAACGACGATTAAAACAAAACAAAGACGACAATTACAACGCTAGGAACAAAATAAAACACCATAATTAACTAATTGCTAGAGTTAATCCACTAGTTTATAACACCAGCTTTGAGAGCTTCTTCCATCCGTTTGGCCATAACTTTCAAGCCTTTACCAATAAACTCATCCAAATTCTCGGGTTTCCACCCTTCCACAGGCTCAACCTCGTAACCCCATTCAATAGCACACCCATCGTCCTGCCTTATCACTCTCACCTTAGACACATATGAGTTGAACCCGACATTCCCATCAATGATCGAGTAGCTAAAGGTCATGCTATCTGGATCAATGGACAGCAGTTTTTGCTTAGTCCAGTTCACATGGTTCTCATCGGCATGATCTATGTGGGTCTTAAACCCAGCACAGTAACGGACACAGCCAGGCTGACCTTCAACACCCTCTACTCTAATACACGTGCTCAGAGTCGGAAACCACTTGTTCAGGCCACTAAAGTCTGCCAAGAAAGGCCAGACTTCTTCAGCCTTAGCACCGGCTAGCTCTGCCTGTGCCTTTCCTTCCCATTTTGGTTGATTACTAACAGTTTCCATAACATAACACCTTCTTACTTCTTTTGTTAAAAAGACTGAGTTTGAAGCTGAAGGTGAGCCTGCTGATTGTGCTGGAGTATCTATATATAACCAGCTCAAAGAGTTTGAGATATCCTGAATCTGAGGCAAGTTATTCATAAAGGGTGTGTTTGATTTAATGAAAAAAAAAAAAACGTGTTTCCAAATTTCCCTCATTTTCCTTTGTTTGGTTGCAAATAATCATGTTTGGTTCATATAGCCGACCCCGCTTATGGGATTAAGGCTTTAGATTGATTGGTTGCGAAGGGGTGGTAAGGTGGAAATTAAATTATTTTCCAATTTACCCCCTTTTTACTTTCTTCGCACCTATCCTCACCTTTCCGCTCCTATTTTTAATTTCACTTAAACAATTCATGTAAGGAACCCAACAAAGGAAAACTAATTTGCAAAATGGTTTTCCATGATTTTTCATTGAAAATGTTTTACGTCAAATCAAACAGAGCTAGAAGCAATGTACCCCGTGATTATTTCTAGTATGGAATGAGTCAATCATCCATGTGATGATGTTGATACCTCATTGGACCTCGTCAATGCTCATTGAAGAATCTTTCAATTCGATGGTGCATATGAAGCAACACATCATGGTATGGCACTGATATGAGGAAGACAAAGATTAAACATGTGTAAAACGAGTACGTCAACATCCTGCTGTTACCCTACTTCCAACTAGATACCTATATATGTTGTCTGATATTGTTGCTGTTTGATACCTACTTGCACGGAAAATGCATATAGATACTAATTTTGTTGTTCTTTGTTAGATTAGAATGTGTAATGAGTGGACTCAAAGAACTGACAGCCCATTTACCTTGCCTGATATTGAATGGAGCCAGTATTTTTGATATGTATCTCTAAGAATGGCTTAAATCAAATTGCACCAAAACATTCAAAATTGGACTAGTTTTTTTTCGAATAAGCAATTATTTGCAATTAGTGATTCTGGTTCACAAGGTAAAACTGTAATTGCCAATTTGGCTCACCAAACTACACAAAAGAATGCTGATTGTCTAAGCAAAGTGAAACGCGAATACAAAAATGGTATTACTTCTTCTATACACACAACTCTAGTTGAGATAATACGAAACCATACTCTTGTAGTCTTGTATAGTTGTATGGAAAAGTTATTACATTATATAGACTGTGAAGCAGGATGACTGTCACTGAGCTACCTTTCTCTCTGAAGCAGTTCTCGCATGCTTCCTAGTCCTTTATCAGCAACTACTGTCAAGTGACTCGAGTCTGTCATCTCTTCATGATCAGATGTCTTCCTGTCATACTTATTCAACCTTTGTTTTTCAGTACTATTCTGTAGAGAAATTTTCTGGCATGATTCAATTCCATTGCTCGGATTTTTCAACCTTAAAACGTTCCCCTTAATCGAACCCTCAACCTGGATATTGATCCTCCTAGATGGTGCAGAATCATGTTTTGGCGGTCCAGTCTCATCATTAAACCGAAAAACTTCATAATTGTTATCATCTTTTTTCAAGATCACAGCACCAAGATTGACTAGAGACACAACCTCAGCTCTATTTCTACCTTTAACTATCCCATCTTTCTCTGACATCAGTGTTCTACTCGCGTTCCTGGTTGAATTGACCGCCTTTTTCTCCTGTATCCCCTCCCGGATTTCACCCTCTTTAGCTGAAATTTCTCCTAGCTCATTCAAATCTAAGGTCTCATTAGCATCCATTTGAGATGACTCATCATTTTCTTCATCAATTACTTCAGAAAAATCAAGAACATTTCTCTCTTCATCATCGTCTGCTACATGTTTTATCCTCTCAGCTTCTCCAATCAAGTCCATTCCATACAACTCAATCCCCTCAGCATTCTGAGATAATTCGAGACCTCCTTTACGCCCCAAAAACTTCCAACCGCGGTCAATTTTGAGATTCTTCCCTATGTCATAGTCCACTGCATACAACTTTATCCCCTCAGCATTGTCAGATGGCCTGAGACCCCCCTTGCGCCCGAAAAGCTTTACTATCCGCTGGTTTCGTACCTTCTTATCGACATCTTCGTAACCATAGTCTTCCCTTGCATGAAGTAAGTGGTAAATCTGGTACAGCAACCAGAAGCAAACAACAAACAAGATTGTAAACTGCACAATCTGCTTAATATGTAACCCTTCACCCCTCTCTTTTCGGATAACATGTTGATGATTCAGTCCAATTTCTTTCATTTCTTACTGCAAGAATAATCCTGCAATTAAACACAACATCAGAAAAATTCAATCAAAATAATTGCTCAAGAAAGTGATATTTTCACAGAAATGCAAGTAAACAATAATGAATACACAGCCCCAATAATCGTACCACCGGAGTGGAAATAGAATGGTGAAAGTTGCTGTAGAGTGTGATTCAGGGAAATTAGGTAGAAAAGTCTTGGGAAAATTATATGATTATGATCAAATTTGGGTGATAATCAAATGGCAGGAACATATTTTTCATCCATGATCAAATTTCTACCAAAATTTCTTGAAATGTATAGCATATCAACGAAATATTTAATCAAATATCAGAAATTTCATCAAAAATGTGAAATTGCTACCAAGAAAAGGGTGAAAACAGAACAACATAAGAACGAAAACTCCCACAAAATTCATCCAAATTCAAATGTAATTACAACCCATTTTCCATAATCTAAAACCCTTTTCAGGAACACTAATAAAACATCAATATTTTATTAATTTAAAAAGATTATCAATGCGAACTAAGAGAAAAAAATACAGAGAATAAGAGATTACCCTGTTTTATTGACTTCTTAATCAGAATATTCTGCAAACTTATCTCCAAACCAAGCAAAAATCAACGAAATACCAAGTTGTATAATCTTTTTTCTTTAATTTCTTGCTTTGATTTTGTGCGGAAATGAGATTGTGAAGAAGAGAATTTGAATTTCTGGGTTTCTTGGAGGTTTAAGTGTTGAATGGGAGAGAAAACTAGCGGTTATATTTGAAATGGTAATCTCGAAAATAGGTTGTTAGTTTTTACTTTTTAGTTGTTAGACGATAAAAATATGGGAATTGGGCTTGAAAGAGGATTTGTTGGGCTTTAAAAAATTGAAAACATAGATTGAAAAATTTGCACCTAGGGATGAGCCAAGCCCGAACTACTTAGAGTATGGTGCGTTAGTTTTTCGAACTCGAGCCGAGCTTGAATCTTGTGAGTCGAGTTTTGACTAAGTGTTGACTGAGAAGATATCGAATTGTTCACGAACAAGTTTGACTTATTATCCTTTGGTTATTTGTATTCTTTTTAAGATGTTTAATTTTACGAGTTTGATTTCTTATACAGTATATGATGAAATTACAAACTTATTACGAAGTATTATGTAATATCTAGGATAAATATATAAATAAATAATCAAATCTTGATAAGGTCTCGAGTTGAATTCAAACCCAAGCTGACGAACTGAGCTCTCACAGAGCCAATGCAAAGCTCAAATTATTCACAATTAGGTCATCCTTATTATCACCCCTAATCGCTCCATTATATAGATATTTTCACTATTCACAAGTTCACACATTCTTCTTTGACCACTTTTATGATTTTTGGTAAGATAAAATTATAGTTGTGTAGGATCTTATTGGATTCGTCTTGATTTATACCAACTAACTAATATTTTATATTTCGTCTTCCACGATTTCCTTCATGCTCCCTTATCATTTTCTTGAATAGCTAGCTTACTTATTTCAAAAGTTTCCAATTAAAACCCAAATTATCTGGGTTATAGCTCTTATCTCATTTGTATTTTCTTCTCACTCTAGGTCATTTTAGAGGAACTATTCAAGTAAAGAGGAATAGATTCTTTTGTTTTCTGTTCTTTTTTTTTTTTTTTTGGACAAAGGATGATTCAATTTTTTTTTTTATAAAGGGTTTATATATGAAACTTGATGGGCTCATTTTTTCAGTTAGTTTTGGAGTTGGGATATTAGTCGTTTATTGAATGCATAACTAATTTAAATATGTACATGGTTAATTGGAGAGAGTCCAAATTTATCAAGTTGATAAACAAATTTCATGTATTGTTTTTTGTCATTTGTTTATCAAGGTGATAAGATTGCTTGTATTTAATTTTCTCAGTTAACAACCGTTGTTAGGACGCAAATAATGACTTTATATTCCGCATTTACTCATCGGTCATCACCTTAAAAATATCTATGGTGGTCTTTGAGTTCGCTAGAAATAATATGTCCTGTAGGATATCAATTGTACATGATTGTTACCCTAATTTTCCCAAATTATATCAATTTTACAAAACAACAATTATTTGTATAGCTTTTTGCCAACTTCTATTTATCAAATAACCTTATTGTCGTAATTAAAAGATACCTTATTCATATTCTTAATTATGAACTATTCCGTATAAAAAATTCAAACACTTTATACCCTTAAGAGCGTTTACTAACAAATTTTATGTGTTTTCTACAACTACTTGGCACTTGCATAAGTTGCATTGATCCAAAAAATGTTACAGTACCATATAATGGGACACTTAAAATAATGAGTACATTGTATGTAATATCAAGAATTACGTATGTACTCCACGTGTGATTAAAATTTTCTAGATTGTACTATATATATAAAGAACATTATTAATGATAAAAGACAAGGTTTAATTTATCCCAAACATTTGTAATACTCCCTAGCTAAAAGAAACATGATATGGTACGTACTCCAATTTACCATCGAACATCAAATCTATCTCATCTTTACATGTTAACTACTGTATGGTGCTTTGAATATTAGGTTTAGCTGCCAACTATTCCAAGACACATAGCAAGCTATTTATTGCGCGGATTTGAAATGATGTTATCTTCGTATCTACTATATACTAAAGCAAAGATCACTTAATCACGTTTCCTTTCCTAATTACATTAATAAATACATTATTAATTACTTTGTATGTTATAAGAATCATGGATGGATAATTTGAGCATTTATGTTAAACTGAATGAAATCTTGGAGAAAACGGCTTAAACTTTGTATTTATATTAACCACATATATATACTCAATACATTAGGAAACCTAATTAGCCTTAAACTCCCAAAAAGATAAACTTAACATAAATACAATATCTATACTTAGTATTTAAAAACTATAACCAAGGAAACATGTCTCCATCCGATTACACTTCAATATCTTTTTCTCTAATCCAAATGTCACATGTCTTCTTACATCATTAATTAATTTTTTATTACACTATATAAGTATATTTATTTAATTCTTTCATTAAACTTATATACTTCGCTTCATCTTCCATATACATTTTATCTTCATCTCCCCTCTTCAATTCAACCTTTTGCTTTT